TACCAAGCGGTGCCATGTCTGCACCCGGGATCCAAACTGGCGAACCCCGGGCTGCCAAAGTGGAATCTGCACACTTAACCGCTGCACCACCAGGCCAGCCCCTACCCCTATTATATTCTTAAAGCAATCTATATAATTCTTCCCCAGAACTTAGCAAAATTATAATAATGTAATTTACTTGTGTGATATTGTTTAGTGTCAGCCTAATCCAGGAGGGTCTGTGATTTTCTTACCCACTACTCCAGCATATAGTGCATTGTCTAGTTTATAATCGATGCTTAATAAATGTTTACTGAATGTTGAAAGATTGAGATTGCAGGCTAGGAACGGCATGAGGGACTGTTATTGTCATCTCAGGTTAAGAGGTGGTGTCCTGGATCAAAGTAACTAGTGGGGAGGATTTACAAATTCTCTAGAAAATGAAATCCACAGAATTTGGAGCCAGAGAAAATGTGGGAAGTTAAAAGGAGTAAGCTGTGGGCTTCCCAGTTTGGGGCTAGGGGGTGGGCAGAGGGTGGTAATGGTCATTGGATGAGGAGCATTGAGAAAACTTGAGGGCGAGCTAGTAGAGTGGGAGTTGCCTGAAGGGCAGCCAGGTGGAAGCTGAGGGTTACAGGAGCCTCTGCTGCCAAAGTGTGGGCCAGCTCTCCCAGTTCTCCCCATCAATATTGAACATGCTCACATCTTCTGAGATAACAGGGAAGAAGCTCCTAGAAATCAGGAGGAGCTCTGCCATCGCCCCAAGGTGGAAGGAATGCTTTAGCGGGACAGCCTTTCCCCTGGGGGAGAGCGGAGTGGGAAGGATGCAAGTAGAAGTAGATGAGGCTGAGGATTTGGGGAGTATAGCTGAGAGGGTTGCTGTCTGAGGCATGAGAAGTTATGTGGGGTGCAGAGGAGACTGTGAGTTTGAGGAATTTGTGGTTGAACTGAATGTCAGGAGTGACTGATGAGGGGATCAGAAAGTCAGTACTAAAAGTCCAGCTGAAGCTGACACCAAGGAATTTCTAAGGTTCAAGCCTGCAGGATTGTGTATCCTAATACATTCATGGGCTACATGCTGAGAATTTTCCCTGCCCCATGTCTCTTCTTCATGGCTCCATCAGAGTTGGGTGAAGGGTTCTGATGTGGCTCTTTGCCTCTGTCTAGGTGAGGGGCCGGATGTCCTGGTGTACACCTTGGATTTTGGTGGACATCTGCGGATGATGAAACGAGTGCAGAACCTGCTTGGCCACTATCTTATCCATGGGTTCCGGGTACGACCAGAACCCAACGGAGACCTTGACTCGGAGGCCATGGTGGCTGTGTTTGGGAGCAAGGGACTCCGGGTTGTGAAAGTTAGCTGGGGACAGGGCTGCTTCCGGGAACTCTGGCGCTCTGGCCTGTGGAACATGTCTGACTGGATTTGGGATGCACGTTGGCTTGAGGGGAACATGGCCTTGGCCCTGGGCCATAATTCAGTGGTGCTGTATGACCCCGTGGTAGGCTGCATCCTGCAGGAGGTGCCCTGCACGGACAGGTGCACTCTCTCCTCAGCCTGTTTGATTGGAGACACCTGGAAGGAGCTGACCATAGTGGCGGGTGCCATTTCCAATCAGCTCCTGGTCTGGTACCCAGCAGCTGCCTTAATAGACAATAAGCCCGTGGCCCCTGACCGACGAGTCAGTGGGCATGTGGGTGTCATCTTCAGCATGTCGTACCTGGAAAGCAAGGGCTTACTGGCCACGGCTTCAGAAGACCGAAGTGTTCGCATCTGGAAGGTGGGTGACCTGCGGGTGCCTGGGGGTCGGGTACAAAATATTGGGCACTGCTTTGGGCACAGTGCACGTGTATGGCAGGTCAAGCTCCTAGAGGATTACCTTATCAGTGCAGGAGAGGACTGTGTCTGCTTGGTATGGAGCCATGAAGGTGAGATCCTCCAGGCCTTTCGGGGCCACCAGGGCCGTGGGATCCGGGCCATAGCTGCTCATGAGAGGCAGGCCTGGGTGATCACTGGAGGCGACGACTCAGGCATCCGGCTATGGCACCTGGTAGGGCGTGGGTACCCAGGTTCAGGAGTCTCAGCTCTCTGCTTCAAGTCCCGTAGCAGGCCAGGTGCCCTCAAGGCTGTGACGCTGGCTGGCTCATGGCGACTACTGGCAGTGACTGATGCAGGGGCCCTGTACCTCTATGACCTTGAGGTCAAGTGCTGGGAGCAGCTGCTGGAGGACAAGCGCTTCCAGTCTTACTGCCTCCTGGAGGCAGCCCCTGGTCCTGAGGGCTTCGGACTGTGTGCCATGGCCAATGGGGAGGGTCGTGTCAAGGTTGTCCCCATCAACACTCCAACTGCAGCTGTGGACCTGACCCTGTTCCATGGGAAGGTGTACAGCCTGAGCTGGGCCCTGCGTGGCTATGAGGAGCTCCTGTTGCTGGCATCAGGCCCTGGCGGCGTGGTGGCTTGCCTAGAGATCTCAGCTGCGCCCTCTGGCAAGGCCATCTTTGTCAAGGAACGTTGCCGGTACCTGCTACCTCCAAGCAAGCAGAGATGGCACACATGCAGTGCCTTCCTACCCCCAGGTGACTTCCTGGTGTGCGGGGACCGCCGGGGCTCAGTGTTGCTGTTCCCCTCCAGACCAGGTCTGCTCAAGGATCTTGGGGTTGGAGGCAAGACTGGGGCTGGTACTGGAGCACTTGGAGCGGGTAGTGGCAGTGGTGGGGGTGAGAATGCCTTGGCCGAGTGGGGCCCTGTGTCCACCCTCCCTTCTCTGCATGGGAAGCAGGGTGTGACTTCAGTCACCTGCCATGGAGGCTATGTGTACACCACAGGGCGCGACGGCGCCTACTACCAGCTCTTTGTGCGAGGCGGCCAACTCCAGCCAGTCCTAAGGCAGAAGTCCTGTCGAGGCATGAACTGGTTGGCTGGGCTCCGCATGGTGGCTGATGGGAGCATGGTCATCCTGGGTTTTCACGCCAATGAGTTTGTGGTGTGGAGCCCCCGGTCGCACGAGAAGCTGCACATCATCAACTGTGGTGGAGGGCATCGCTCCTGGGCCTTCTCTGATACCGAGGCGGCTATGGCCTTCGCTTACCTCAAGGATGGGGATGTCATGCTGTACCGGGCTCTGGGTGGCTGCACCCGGCCACACGTGATTCTCCGGGAGAGCCTGCATGGCCGTGAGATCACTTGTGTAAAGCGTGTGGGCACCATCACCCTGGGGCCTGAATTTGGGGTGCCCAACTTCATGCAGCCTGACCACCTTGATCCCAGCAGCGAGGGGTCTGGCCTGATTGACATCGTGATCACATGCAGTGAGGACACTACTGTCTGTGTCCTGGCATTCCCCACAGCCACAGGCTCAGCCCATGCACTTACAGCTGTTTGTAACCATATCTCCTCGGTGCGTGCAGTGGCTGTGTGGGGCATTGGCACCCCAGGTGGCCCTCAGGATCCTCGGCCAGGCCTGACCGCCTATGTGGTATCTGCGGGGGGCCGGGCTGAGATACACTGCTTCAGCATCATGGTCACCCCAGACCCTAGCACCCCAAGCCGCCTCGCCTGCCATGTCATGCATCTTTCGTCCCACCGGCTAGATGAGTACTGGGACCGTCAGCGCAATCGGCACCGGATGGTCAAGGTGGACCCAGAGACCAGGTGATGTGCACTGCCAGGCAGGAGCATGGGGTGGTGTCATGTAGGGCAAGCCCTGTGTAGCTGCTCGCAGGCTCTGCCTGATGGCTGTGTGTTGTCTCTGCAGGTATATGTCTCTAGCTGTGTGTGAGCTTGACCAGCCTGGCCTTGGTCCCCTTGTAGCTGCAGCCTGTAGTGACGGGGCAGTGAGGTGAGAGCATAGGGTCCAGGGGGCAAGGAGACAAAGGATGTAAAGTTGTTCAGAATGATTTCTGAGCTGGGCCACCCTCCGCCCCCCAGGCTCTTTCTTTTGCAGGACTCTGGGCGGCGGCTGCAGCTCCTAGCTGAAACCTTCCACCACAAGCGGTGTGTCCTGAAGGTCCACTCCTTTATGCATGAGGCACCCAACCAGCGGCGGTGAGAGGGGCTGCATGATGGTCCTTCATGGCTTGGGTTCAGGCTTCTGTTGCTTTCCATCTCCCTCACTGACCCAGCTGCCCTTTCCTGGCTCCCAGGAGGCTGTTCCTCTGCAGTGCAGCCACCGATGGAAGCCTGGCCTTCTGGGATCTCACCACCGTGCTGGACCATGGCTCCACTGCCCTGGAGCCTCCAACGGACCCCGGGCTTCCCTACCGTGAGTAGCTAGTATGCTACCGTGGCTGTCCCTCCCCACCTTCCACTTTGCATTCACCCACATGGCAGGCTGGGTGCTGACAACCATCTTCTTTCCCCAGGGCTGGGCACCCCCTGCCTGACCCTCCAGGCTCACAGCTGTGGTGTCAACAGCTTGCACACCTTGCCCACACGTGAGGGCCATCTTGTGGCCAGTGGCAGTGAAGATGGCTCCCTCCATGTCTTTGTGCTTGCTGTGGAGGTGCCAGAGCTGGAAGAGGCTGTGGGGGGTGCTGAGCTGGTGCCCCAGCTGCATGTGCTAGAGGAATACTCTGTCCCTTGTGCACACGCTGCCCACGTGACAGGCCTTAAGATCTTAAGCCCAAGTCTCATGGTCTCAGCCTCCATCGACCAACGGCTGACCTTCTGGCGTCTGGGGCATGGTGAGCCCACCTTCATGAACAGTACAGTGTACCATGTACCAGACGTGGCCGACATGGACTGTTGGCCTGTGAGCCCTGAGTTTGGCCACCGCTGTGCTCTTGGGGGCCAGGGGCTTGAGGTTTACAACTGGTATGACTGAGGTGTCCCGCGGCGGCCGGCGTGCTGGGCATGGGGCCTGCTCACAGACAGAGTGGAGCAGGAGTGACTGTCTGTGCCCATGCCTAGTGTGCCTTGAGTGGAGGAGGAGGCAGCCGCGGGTTCCTGACTTCATAGCAGGCGCTGGAGGTGAGTAGAGTGCTGCCTGGGCAGACCAAAATTATGTCCCCCCCAACAAGACAAAGCTTTGTAACAAAAGTTTATTTTGGCTCTAGGTCTCTAACAAAATCTGTAGGTTTTTCCTGTTCTTTTTTAAAAATTTTTTTTCTAGTTGATGACTTTGTGAACATTCCCAGATATTGGGGCCTCTGTGGCGTTAGATGTGGCTCAGTGGAGGGAGACCCAGCATGGCCAGGCCAGTGTGGAGCACTTTACGCACGGCTCGCAGAAGCTGCAGACGGGCAAACATTTGATCAAACAGGTGTGGTCGAGGCTCCTGGAGGAGAGAACAGGCCTGCTGGTCTCATCCTGTGCTTCCCCTGCACACCCCTTTACCCCTTTTGCTGTGCACTTACCCCTAGGATGTGTACACGGTTATAGTATGAGCTGAAATCCATGCTGAGCTGCACCAGGAACTTGCAGACCTAGAGACAGAGACTGAGTCACTGGCCTATCTCTTTGCCCTTGTGCCCCAGATGAGAATAAAGAGTAGAGTGTGCAGTGCCTGTCCTAGTCTTCTCTGCCTCACCATCTCTGTGCGTGCAGTGATGTGGAGCCCCGGGGCTGTGCAGGCCAGGGCTGCTGTCTGGCTCAGGAGGTCTGGGAAGGGGAGGACACTGTTGAAGAGCAGCAACCACTCACCCTGTGGGGGAGAAGGGTGATGGGAGGGAAAGTCCAAGCCTCCTGAATGTGCCAGCTACCCAGGAGGAGCACTCACCTCATCCTGTAGCAGTGAGAAATCCAGACTGTTCACAGCTGGAAAAGTGGGGTACAGACCTTGTTCCATGTTGCGCTTGTAACCCTCAAAGAGTGTGGCAAGACGAGCACAATTATACATGACAAAGGTGCCACTCTTGGTGCCCTTTGTGGAAATGCTGCTGTCGGCCAGAGCCAGGAGGAGCTGAGGAATAGGGGAACAGCTGAAGAGAGGGAGGGCAGCCACCACACACCCTGTCTCCCCAGCCCTGGTCCTGTGGGGCACCGAGGCTCACCTGACTCTGGGGGGCTGTGCTGAGCATCTCAAACTTAATGCTTGCCACAGCAAGAACTCCGAAGGTTTCTGTCCAGGCTGGGTCTGAGGGAATATAGGTCAGTCAGTCTCTGCAGACAGGGAACAAGGGGCAGGGGTGCAAATGACCTGCCCCTATCCCAAAGCACAGCCAGGGCCTCCCAGGCGCACCTTGTGCCAGGTCCCTGCCATGCTTCAGTGCTGAGGCCTTGCACACCTGGGCATGCCGGAGCCTGCATTTTGAAAAGAATGAGAGGAGGGCCAGTGGGCAGAGTCCCCCCCTCCTCAACTACCCTGGTTCAGTGGCGTTCCAGCCTCACTCACTCGTAGTACTCGGGGGCAGTCAGGGTGTCGGGTGCACCAGCTACTTTCACTGGGCCACAGACCAGGTGCTTCTGTCAGGAAGATAGCAGGGCCTCAGCCAGTTAGCGATACCCTCTGGCAATAAATCCCTCAAGGAACCTAAATCTAGTGCCTGGACTCCCCCAGCTTTTAACCAGGCTTAGTGCCTCCCTTAAGCTCAGCCCTTCAGAATGCAGTCCAGCCTCCTCAACCTATTCTTCAGTCTTCTCTGAGATGTACCTCCCTCCAGACCCCACCTTCTTCCAGGCCTCTGCCCCTGCTGCACATGCCCACTCACCAAGCCTAACATCTCCCTCAAGATCAAGTGTCACCTTCTGGACCCATCAGCTAACAGGCCCCTTGGTGGGTTTCCAAGGGCCCTCTGAGGTTGGTGAGGGGGAGCTCCACCATCACTAACCTACCTGTCTGAGAGGAGCCTGGTCATCCAACTTCCACCAAAGCAGGTCCAATTTTTGTTGCTGGAACTCCTCCTCACAGCTCACCACATGTACAACCATGCAGCTATCTGCATGAGCATCTGGAGCTGCAGCCTATGGGGTAGGGGGACAGTCACTGCGGGGACACAGGACACCACCTTTGCCAGAAGCCTGCAGGGTGGGGGAACTGATCACTAACCAGGCCTAGGGAGCTGTCCTCAGGCGAGTGCTGCACAGCCTCCTGCAGCTCGGCCAGCACGGAGAGCAGATCCTCAGTCACTGCAAGGAGAGAACACAGGCGCTAGCCGGGAGTCCAGGGGTCCCCGCCTTGTGGCCCTGCTAGGCTCCAGGTCCTACCCAGACAGTTGTCCAGATTGGGGTCATAGCCAGCTGTGCGTCCCCGTTCTTCCACCAGCTCCTTCAGGCACACTCTGCCCAGGACGCCAAGGGGCAGGGCTCCCCTGTCATTGGCAGGGGTAAGCTTAGCAAATGCGCTGCTCCTCAGGGCTTCGGTCGCAGCTCTCTCCGAGGCAGCGGACCAGTCCACTCGCAGTTGCTGCAGGAAGGTCAGCATATGCGGGTCCCGCACGGCTGGCACTAGACGCACACTCACCCTGCGAAACGAGGGCGGCTGCCTCAGCCTGAGCGCCTGGTCAGGCTCACCTCTACTTTCCACCCGCAGCGGCCAGTCCCCAGGGGCCGCGCGGCCGTAAGCCCAGGACGGTCGGCCTTCTCCTTTCTGGCCCGGCGCCTCCGCTCACCCGTGAGTGTGCAGAGCTCGAGACAGGTGATCGGCCACGAGCACGGCGCGCAGCTGGCTCAAGCGGAGTGCACAGGGCGCGCCGCGCAGCGCCGGGCAGTGCAGGATGACGCGCGGGCCCGGTGAGGCGGACACAGCGGGCGCGGCGTAGGCGGCCACGGCGCCGAGGACGCGCTCGAAGACAGCGGACCGCTGCAGCTGGAGGGCCAGACCCGCGGGGGTCGGCGCGCAGCGCAGCACTGGGGCCACACCGGGGCCCTGTAGGCCGGCGACCGCATGGACCACACGCTCGGGCACCTGCAGGAGGACAGGAGGGTGAGCGGGCCGCGGCGCTCCCAGCTACCCCTGGCAGCACGTCCCCGCCCCAGTAGGGCCCACCTGTCCATCCCCGAAGCGAGCCTGTAGCGCGCGCCGCGGCGCCAGGAAGTCTCGGGCACGGAGGTGGCGGGCGCGCGTCTCCTTCAACCATACAGGGCCTCCGGGCCCCAGGGCGGCGTTGAGGGCCCCCAGAGTCTCCCCGACCCCAAGGCGGCTCGTCGCCATGGCGACCGGAAGGCGCGAGCGGAACCGGAAGCAAAATGTCGGGAGGTCGGACTTCCGGGACGACCGATTGGCCGGGAAGGGGATCTGTCTGTGGTCCCTGAGTGGACAGGTGCGCCGGAGAGAACCATGGCGGCCCCTTTGGACTTGCAGTCCCAGAGCTTCCTTCACGTGACCCACCTCCCCTGCCCCGAAATCTCGGGGTCCGCTCTGGGCCTAGGGTTCTTTCGCCGTCACCCACATCAGCAATCAGAGAAAGAATCCTGGCGACCCTGTAGAGGCTCAGAGAGGGCTCTTTCTCTCATTGACGTCCTACGTTTCCGTATATATGATAACGTTTCATTTCCCCCATTTTACATGTGATCAAAACGTCAAAAGTTCCAAATGAGGGGCCGGCGGGATGACCGAGTGGTTAAGTTCGCGGGCTCTGCTTCTGCGGTCCTGGGTTCACCTGTTTGGATCCTGGGCACAGCATACATGCCGCTTGTCAAGCCATGCTGTGGCGGAATCCTACACAGAGGAACTAAAACGACCTACAACTAGGATATACAACTATGTACTGGGGCTTTGGGGAGGAAAAAAGAGGAAGATTGGCAACAGCTGTTAGCGCAGGGCCAATCTTCGCCACCAAAAACCAAAGTGCCAAATGAATTGTCACTAGAATAGGGCAGCTAATATTAAAGCCACTACTTTTACGGCCTACTTAAAAAAAAGTCTCACTTTAAAAAGATGTGGTCTGCAGTTTCAGGTTATTTGCAAGCATTTTTCCTTTGAGACATGCGTTGTCTTTATTCCTGATAAATGTTCACTCTAACAGAATTGCCAGTTTTCTCCTCCTGATTCTTGAGGAACCAGCTTGATGGTTTCCAGAATTGCTAGCTTTTAATGTTTCTTCTTTAACCTGGTGGACTTTAACAAGGATCCTCCTGCTTCCTGATTTAGGCAATAATGAGCCATCGTGGGCCAACTAAACAATGTGACCATGAGAAGACCTAGCTAAAGGACAGCTCTCAGTTGAAACATCCCACTCCTCTACTATCAAGAAAGCTCTTTCCTCTGTCCCACGAGGGCTTCCGAATGTTTTTACTTCAACATAACTTAAATCCCCTTTTCCTCTTTTTTTTTTTTTTAATGGAAATTGAACCTGATACAGCACAGTGTTGGGAAACCCGCGATCTCTGCCCTGGGGCAGTGAGAATGCCCAGAGCTCAGAAAGTAGGGGATCCTAGGGGCAGGAAAAATTTGGCAAGGCCCCTTTCTGGGTCAGGGCCTCAAGGTCCTGCTGGGAGGCGCCGAAAGAGCACTGGGCGGACACGATATTCCCGATGGCTTCTTGTGTGCCCACTCAACGGGAGTGATCGTGTCATTCCAAAGCGCTTTCCATGCCGCAGGCGCACGACCCGGGGACAGCTGTTAACAGAATTGGGGACCGGAGGCCGAGGCTGAGGACTTCAGCTACGAAGACGGTTGGGGTGGTTTTTCCCCAGGAAGTGGAGGGCTATCTTTAGCGAACTGCGGGCTGGGGCGGCCCTGTGGGACTCACCGCCATTGCAGCGCTATCTGGAGGCCCCGGGGCGGCCCTCCTTCACCAATGTTACCCGGAGTTCCAGAGACGGCCACTGTCCCGGCTCTCCGACGTCTACGCCCGTTACTTCCAGTCTGAGGGCGCACCTGAGAGGGGCTGAGCCCAGAGCAACCCATTAGTATGTCTGGGGGTCAGGGGCTAGCCCATCCCGTCTGGACTAAGACGCTGCTCAGGCAGAAGAGCAGGGAACGAAATCCAAGCGCAGCTGGAATGCTCTGGAGACAACAGCTGCTTTTGGGATTCCGTTGCCCGCTGTCCAGCCGTTGGGGGCGGGGGTGGGGGAGGAGAAAGGGGTCCTTCGCCTTGGGGCCAGATCAGAAGCCCGCATTCCCAATCCCAGGTGGCGCACCCAGGAGTAGGCGGTGAAACCTAGTCTAGTGGGAACGAGCCGCTCACCTGGGCCCCCAAACAATAGGAGGGGTGGTGGAGGCCTCCCCTGGGACCGGGTCCCGATCCGGATTAAATCCGCCGGGTAGCATTAGTCCTGTTGGTTCCATGCAGTCAGAGCCACTGGTGCGGCGACGGTGGCAGGGCAGGCTTTGGGATCAGCCAAGAGGGAAGCGCGCCCATGGGGACCGGAGAGGAAGTAAACCCGCGCGCCCGCCTCGGGGACAACCCCCACCCGGGGCCCTTTGTCCGGTGACGCTGCCAGCCTCTGGAGCGCTAGGGACCCAACGGGCCCAAACGGGGTCGACGGGACCCCCGGAAATCCATTGCGACCGTCCTTCGCTGTGCCGAGCCTCCCAGCCCCCCGCCCCGTCCCGCCCCGCGGACAGCAGACGCTGCAACAACGTTCCCTTGAGGCCACAACACGGTGGGCACGCGGAGATGCCGGAACCCCGTGCGGGCGCCAGCAACTCTGGAGCCAGTAGGCCCCCGAGATTTGGCTCAAGACGGAGGGCGGGGGATTTTCGGGATGCGAGCAGAGTGAGCGAGGACAGGGCGATGCTCCAGCCGTTGTCTAGTTCAATGTCTGGTCCGCTTCGGCCCGGTCGGTGACACCAGAACGGTTACAACTGCCCCACCACGGTGTCCTCTTCCGCTTGCTCTGGCCGCTGACTTGGAGCCATTTTAAGGCGAAAACACCCAGTCACGCCCCCTCGCGCTCCCGAGAAGCCAATCCACGCGCGGCTACGCCCCGCGCGACGCGCGGCGGCGACGCCAACGGTCGCGCGGGTGACGGTTAGAGAGGGGCGTAATTCGGGGCTCAGCGAGGGAAACTTGAGCCGTGCGCCCCGCCTTCGGAATTTGGCGCCCGAAAGTTTGGGATTAGGGGCTTGGAGGCTGGCACCACGCCGTAGCCAGGTGTGCAGGACTCGACCAGGTGCGCGGCCGCCCCTCCCCAGGCCCCAGGGGCCTTGCGTAATGGCTGAAAGTCGGGGGTCAGGCCACGCCACCAGGTGTCCGGTTGCCCCAGGACTGTCTGCGGGGGCCCAGGGCGGGGCGGGTAGCAGGTGCAGACACCGGAGCGACGCTGGGGGATGCGCCCTTCTTGAACAGATGGCATCGGCCAGCTCCTTCGCTCTCCCGCGCTGGGCCGGCCGAGCTGCGCGGTGCCCTCCGTGACGCAGAGGGCGCTGCAGCCGTGCTGAGCTGGGCTCAGCTACGACCCCGCTGACCCTGCGCCCGCCACCCCGCGCGCCGGTCCGCCATGGCTGCCGCATTCGTGCTTCACCGTTTGTACCGAGCGCAACCTGCATTGCGCTGTTCGCCCGCCGAGCTGCTGTGGTGAGCCCATACCCAGCGCCCCTGAACATCTCGCCCCCCACGGCCAGCCATTTCCGGTCCCGCACCTAGACCCCAACCTTACATCTCCGCAGGGCCCCACGGCGTGGGCATCGGCTCACACCGGCGGATGACGAGCTGTATCAACGGACGCGCATCTCTCTGCTGCAGCGCGAGTCCCCGCACGCCATGTACATCGACAGCTACAACAGCCGCGGCTTCACGGTCAACGGAAATCGCGTCTTCGGGCCCTGCGCGCTGCTCCCGCACTCCGTGGTGCAGTGGAACGTGAGCCCTTCCCTGCCATGAGGAAACTGAGGGCCAGTTACAGGCCTGCCCTCTCACTCTGTCCCTGGCAAACTGGGCTATCCCATTGCCCCGTTGTGAGCAGGTAAGGGGTCCGTGGGGAAAGCCGCGTGGATCTGTGTTTAACCTGCCTCCTCCCCACACAGGTAGGATCCCACCAGGACATCACCGAAGAAAGCTTCTCTCTCTTCTGGATGCTGGAGCCCCGAATAGGTATTGGAGGAGGGGAAGGCTGAGGTGTTGAGCCCCAGGAAGCCACCCCTACCTCAGCCTGTCAACAGACCTGGCTGTAAATTAGCCATACCCATGCTTTTCTAGAGATTGTCGTGGTGGGCACTGGAGACCGGACTGAGCGGCTGCAGGCTCAAGTGCTGCGAGCCATGAGGCAACGAGGCATCGCTGTGGAAGTGCAGGACACGGTAAGTCCCGGGACTTAGGAATGGTGAGGGGAGCCCAGGCCTAGCCCCAGCCCCGCTGATGCTGGCTTTCTCTTTGCAGCCCAATGCCTGTGCCACATTCAACTTCCTCTGTCATGAAGGCCGAGTGACAGGAGCTGCTCTCATCCCACCTGGAGGGACAGTACTCACATCTCTGGCCCAAGCTGCAGGATGAACCACCAGGAACTAACCTGTCCAGGAGGGCCTTGGCACCCTTTGCAGAGTGCAGGGGTTCCCCCCACTTTCACCAGCCCCTCCTCTTTGGCACTGTAACACTTGCCTTGCTTGCTAGCATATTAATAATTTAATCTCGCTCTCCTGTTTTGTACTAGGTGTGTTGCTGGCCAGGGGCTGCTGGCTCAGTAGGCTCTTGCTGGGGGTTGTGAAAAAACCAAGAGGTCACCTTTGCATCTAGACTGTTTGGCCCCTCAGAGGCCAGGAGGCAGTAATGCGTCTCTTCCAAACTGCAGATTTGAGGAGATCTCAGTGCTTTCTCCACAAAGTCCTTTAGGGATTCAAGTTAGAGAACATGTATGTGGGTCTCAACCTGGTCCCAAGTGGCCAAGCTTTGGACTAGCAGGAGGCCCTGTGGATACCAATCCAAAGCCCCATGGACTGTTCTGTGACCCCTCCTTATCAGCCTCATTTAGATTCTTAATGTGAAACCAAACCCTTGGGAGTCAGAGCTGGCTTGTGAGCTGCCTTAGGAGGGACTCTTTGAATTTAGAACTACTGCCCCTTCCAGGTCAATGGAGCACCCTTACCTCAGGGCCTGAGGCTTCCCCTGGAAACAAGGGTGTTGTGTTTGTGTGCATCTGTGATGTTGGCAGTTGTGGAGCCCCACCTGCCTGTTGACCTCAAAAATCAGGCATCACTTTTTTTCAAACTTTTATTGAAAAACCGAGGGGGTGTGCTGTATCCATTTTCAGAAAAGCCGTTTCTCATATCTGTAGGCAGAAGGACCAGCTGTGAGGTGAGGGCAGGAGGAATGAGGCATGGCAGAGACCTCCACTCCAAGGACAGAAGGGTGGAAAAGGGTTGGTCACTTACGAATGGAGGCTGTGGACGCCACCTTCCACCTGAGCTGAGGATGTTCTCTTCTCAAACTTGAGCTCCCCAGAATACATCATGGCTCTGAAGAGGAGCAGGTGTCAGATGTGAGTAGCTGGCCTTGGACCAGCCCTTCAACCTATATCCCAGGTCCCCAAGCTTACCGGACTTGGGTCAAACTCTTGGCACCAATGTCTTGGCAGGAGTGCTGGATGCCAGCGATCAGGTAGGGGACAAATTTGTGGATGGACCCTTTGTCCTGCACAGCCCCAGACACCCCCTGGGCCACTTTGATTTTGTCAGCTTCACTGCAAGAAGAGGCAAGAGACATGGGCAAGATCATAGCACAGATGAGGCTGTCAGTGCAAGGTTAGTGTAGGGTAACTGACTTTCCTGTCCCACCTGAAATATCGGTTCTGGCTGCTGAGATGCTTGTCCATGGCGTCAAGGGAACCCATACCACGATATTTCTTTAGCCGGATCCCATCAGAGAAGAAGTACTCGCCAGGGGCCTCAGTGGTAGCAGCGAGGAGGGAGCCCATCATGACTATGGACAGATGGAGTGGTGGGGGAAGACCCTGAGTGGCACTAGGGAAAGATTCCCACCAGGCTCCCTGGGTGCTGGGCCTCACCTGTGGAGGCTCCAAGGGCTAAGGCTTTGGCGATATGGCCCACATTTTGGATTCCTCCGTCAGCGATGACAGGAACACCAAAGCGCCTCGCGTATTCTGACACCTTGTATACTGCTGTTGCTTGAGGCCGCCCACAGGCCAGCACTGTTGAGAGATGGAGGAACAAATGGGTGGGTGGAGTTGAGATAAGCAAGGGGCCCTGTGGCCACAACTCAGCACCCAGGAGCTCTCAGCTACATCTGTACCAGGACTGCAGCCTGGCTGAGGAAGAGTCATGTCTGGGATGGCTGCTGCCCATTCTGCCTTGAACAGTACAAACAGTTGTGACGGCCTCCACTCACCCCTGCATGTGCACGTGCACGTGTGCATGGCCCAGGGCAGCCTCAGGCACATGCAGTCAGCAGCCGAGAAAGCCCCGCCCAACTGGTATCAGGTGGGGTAGGGTCACCGTGCAGTTAGTACTCAGAGGCCCACCCCTTCCTCACTGCATGGTGGACAGCTTAGGCAAGACCAGGGCAGTGGTTGAGTGGAAGAAAGGGGGGGCTCCAGAGTTGATCCTTGAGCTGTGCCTATTGCAAGAGATGTGGGCAGAGCAGGGCCTACCCAGGGAAGGATGTCCTGCCCTATAAGCATCCCAAGAAGAGGAGGGAGCTGTGTTCTTGAGCAGCCCCCAAACCATGGTCTGTCATTCAGTTTGCCCTACCCACCCATCAGCACCACAAACCCCGGGAGCTACAGCTACAGTCAACCAAGCAGCCGGGCAGTGGGCAGCTGGGCCGGGCCAGTGGGCCGGGCTGGACTTACTATAGCAGCCCGTGACAGTAGAAGGGCATTTGGGGCTGTGGGACTTTATGTCTGGAGGGATCTTGGGAGCCGCTAAATAAAACAAACAGACCAGAGTTTAGAGAGGGCGCAGAGCAGGAGCGAGGAGGCCAGGCTAGGCAAGGAGAGTGGCAGGTGAGGAATGACGAGAGCACGTCTTGCTTCCAGCATGTCACCCATCCAAGGGGCCTGTTTGGCCCTGGGGCTGCCCCTATTGGAGGACTCATTGTAGTTCCCATAAGAGCTCTCGGCTCCAGGGCATGGGGGGCTAAGGGCCCTATCAAAGCACCTTATTACCTTCCTGGGTGATGCAGATGGAACCACTGCCCATGCCCACTCGAAGGGCATCTACACCAGCATCAATGAGGTTCTTCGCCTGTGCAGCTGTGACCACTGCAATGAGGAACAGGGAAAGGCTCGTGTGAAGGTGGAGGTGGCAGCCTAACTCCCCCACTTCTCACCCCACATCCTTCAGTGCCCAGTCTTGCCTCACCATTGCCTCCAATGACTTGGAGACTGGGGTATTTTTCTTTGATGTACTTGATCATGTTGATCTGGAAGATGGAGTTTCCCTGGGAAGAGTCCTGGGGACAGGGAAGAAGTCCCAGTGAGAATGTAATATGTCAGCTGCCTCTACTGCCCCACCCTGCCCGTGCAGCAGCTCACCAAAACCACTACATCCACACCAGCCTGGGCTAGCAAGTCCAGCCGATATTTGTCATCCTCATGAGTGCCAATGGCTGCTCCACACAGCAGCTGCTTCTTGGCGTCTTTGGAGGCCAGTGGATAATCTCGGTTTTTCTTCAGGTCTGTCCGGGCAATGATGGCCACCAACTCATCGTCTTTGTTTACAATGGGCAGCTTTCCTGAGGGCAGGGCAGGACATGGATCAGGACTCTGGTCTTTGGTTCCAGAACCCTTCCTCCCTCTAGGACTCACCCTTCTTGCTGCGCTGCAGAATTTCATTTGCTTCCTTCAGTGTGATGCCTGCAGGGGCTACCACCAAGTCTTCCCTCTTCGTCATGATCTAAGAGGGAGGGAAGCTGTGAGGAAGGGCCAGTCAGAGATTAGGCCTCCCAATAGACCCTGCCTTAACTGAGAGGTGAGGTTCCAAAGACCCCCATGTTCACACTTGCAACCAAACCACCCACCTCAAGTGAACACAACAGTCTCTGCAGCCATCTAGTGGCAAGAATGAGAATTGAGTGGAAAGGACAACATGGTACATAGAACAACCTGCTACATTGTAGAGAAAGAAGGGTCACACAGCAATGACAAGAGAATTAGAAGAGGAGGCTGAAGTTGGTCCCTGAGCACTGCCTCTACCCTAGTGGTGGCAAAGAACACAGCATGTATGCTGGCAAACATTTGGGCAGATAGAGAGGCTCCGGTTGGGAAGGGATGGAGGAACCCCATGAAGGGGTCAGAAACTTGGCTGGGCATTCATCTTTCCTGGACAGCAGAGGAGCCTCCTTGTCTTTAGCCTGGGCTGCCAGAGCTTGGCTTTGCTCTGCCAGTGGCACCTACCTCTTCCAAAAACCGGTCATGCTCCTCCTCCTTGAGAAAGTCAATGTCTCTTGAGGAGATGATGCCTACCAGGCGGCTCCCCATCCGGCCCGTGTCGGTGATGGGGATACCACAGAAGCCATGCCGGGCCTTGGCTTCAAACACATCCTTCACTCGATCCTTGGGGCTGAGGACCACAGGGTCTGTGATGAATCCCTGCTCATATTTCTGGAAGGGATAGTGAAAGGGCAGTTCTGAATCACTTTCATAAGGCTCCTGGTCTGAAGCCTGGGGTCTGTGCCATTTCCCCCTTTGGCAGTGCCACAGGACCAAATCACACCAACACCTCAAACCCAGGGATGGGAGACATGGGTGGGCTGTAGGCACTGTCCACCTGGTCCTCTTCGGTTGCCTTAAAACACAGGGTCTCAGGCTTTTCTCAGGAATTGAACCCCAAAATGGGAAAAAAGGATCCTAAATTAGGAGAATAAATCCCCTGCTCCCACCCCACCCCACCCCAGTGCAATTCCCAGGAGCTCTTGACCACGATCCTTGCCCTTCTGACCTTCACTTTCCGAACTTCATTGGCCTGAAATTCAGGTGTACAGTTGTGGTGGATGAAGCCAATACCACCTGTAAGCTGCAGGATAAACAGAAGACAGAAAAAAAGTGACAAAGAGAGGCATGATTATACATCTTTAGGGAAGAGAGATGGGTCTACTGGTGCTCACCGCCATTGCTATGGCCATCCCAGCCTCTGTGACTGTGTCCATGGGTGAGGAAACCAGTGGCGTCTTCAGAGTGATCTTTTTGGTCAGAGCAGAGGTCAGGTCCTGAGGAGATAAGGCCAGCTAATGTGGGAAAGCACCTCATATACCTCTGGGTAGTGCCAGGTCTCCCACAAAACAGATGCCCTGTATGATCTGCATGCCAGTAGGACGATTCCAGAGAATCCACCCCCAAGCCCAATCTGATGAGGTAGCCAAGAAAGCAGGGTACAGTACCACCTTACCCACCCTTGATGCTCAGGACCCAATTCCTGGCCATACTCACCACCTGGTCTGCAGTGAAGTCGATGTACCCGGGGAGAATGAGAAAGTCACTACAGGGGAGGGGAGTGAATTGGGAGTACGGCTCAGGCTTAGGGCAGCCTGAGACATCATCCCCATACATCATATCACGAGGCATTTGGGCAGAGAAGGCACTGACATAACCCATGTGTCACAGGCAAGACAGAGCACAATGTGGAGATGGAGACAGGAGAGTTTTTCTGACACTTACCTGTCATCAGCGCCCCTGGCACCCTGAC